CGGAAGGATATTTGAATTTTCCTTGTATGACTAACCCATTCGTGTTCCCTGCTTGACATGGGGATGTTTGAATGCTTTGCTGTGGTTAATACTTGTATCATTGCAATGACGTGTACGTGTACGTACGGTAAAGGTACTTCCTTGTTTGAGTAGCCCAGCGGTAGAGTGTTCACTCGTCAAGCCGGCCAGGGTTCGATCCCCATACGAGGGCTCGTCAAAAAGTTAAACAAACTTTATTATGGGCCATAACCAAGGTGCGCTAGTCAATGTAGTACATTGTTTGAGTAGTTCATTGCAAGTGTATTTGGTCTCTTGTGGCCGTTTGTATATGAGTGACAGCCAGTTGAACGTGATAGGGCTCCAGTTGGACGCAGAAATGGAAAAGAACGAGTACCGAGCAGTCACGTTTTTGACTTTAGAGAATAGTACTACCTAAGAAATTCATGACCGCATGTCACAAATGTATGAGGATAAGTGCCCTAGCTATCCAACTGTTGAACGTTATGTTTAATGCTGGGAGAACAAGCCTTGATGATGACCCAAGGTCTGGACGTCCCTTAACTTCCATCCATAAAGACCCGTGCTCGTGGGTTTCACCGCAGTGTTAAACGTCTGAGACCTGCATCACTTCGGGCTTTCCTCCCACATTAAGCTGACACGCCGTAATATAACTGGAATACTGTTAAAAGCGGCGTTTAACCCAACTCACTCACTCACTCCATCCATAAAGATTCAATCAAGGAGATAGAAAAACATATGCTGTCAGATAGACGTATTACCATTGCTGAACTTGAGGAAGACACAGGTCTAAACCATGGATCCACGAAAAACTAATATTCATGAACATTTACATGTGAATAAGATATCAACTCGTTGGGTGACAAAGTTTCAAAATTCTGATCTTGAGGCAAAAAGAACTGACATTACGAGAGACAATTTAGAGCTTATTGAGGAGGATTTTGTCAAATTCAAAAAAAGATTAGTAACGGGTGATGAAACATGGGTTTACCAATTTGATCCCGAGTCAAAACGTCAATCTATGGAAGAGCACCATCCTACTTCTCCGGCACCAAAGAAACTAAAGTCTTCAAGATCAGTGAAGGAGGTTATGGCCACTGTATTCTGGGATGCAAATGGTGTGATCCTTGTTGATTACTTAGAAAGTCAAAAGACGATTACCGGTGCCTACTATGCTGATTTGCCTCATCGCCTGAGAGATTATATTAAAGAAAATCTACGAGAGATGCTGACAAAAACACTTTCACATTTGTTGGTTTTGTTTGAACTTTTGACCAGCCTTCAAAGACACTACATACACACAGCGGGGGCTGCATCACTTTGGGCTTTCCTCCCACATTAAGCGGATTTGAGAGAACTACTTGTCTATTTATTGCGTTACATACTTGGCACAAGCATACACGATGGTACGTTTTCTTAGCTATGGACCCATCGACAATCTATAAACACCGCCCACATCGGTATTAGGTTTCCCACAAGAAAGCACCGATACACTTGACTGTGTGACTCTGTTGCAGGTAACCTTGCGCCTGTACCCCTCTCCTCTCCAGCATACAGGGTATGAGCTGCTGTGGAGACAAGGCTGTACGTGGAACATCCCTGTATTGTTTATAATCCATGGGGATAGAATGCAGGTCACGTGGCTCTCTACCTTGTCCGCTGTAATCATCCTGATTGGTCCAAGGATCCCATGCAGTAAGATTTAATGACGTAATATACTGTACTTGAGTGAGTGAGTGAATATGGTTTTACGCCGCTTTTAGCAATATTCCAGCAATATCACGGCGGGGGACACCAGAAATGGGCTTCACGCATTGTACCAATGTCGGGATTCGAACCCGGGTCTTCGGCGTGACGAGCGAACGCTTTAACCACTCGACCGCCCTTACTGTACTTGAAATTAGCTGGCCAGCAAAAGCAAGTGTACACTAATGTGGGTTTTAGGGTGGCAATAATTATACAAACAAGAAATGGTTATTCGATGGTGATGTATTTGATACGGGTATCAGAGGCCATACTGCTTGCATCGCATCAATGATTATGTCACAGCAAGTGGCTGTGTTTAGCCAAGTAACGTTTGTCAGTTTTAGATTTAATCAAATTTTCAAGTGTTTATTTTCTTTTCCCCGGCAGTGTATCTCGACAAGAGTAACCGCTCTGTTTATCTTTAACATTTAGTAAGATATCAGGAACAACAGATTTAATGAGTGTAGAAAGTGTGCATTGTCCAAAGGGCGATAACAGTTACTTTGCATGTATTTTGCTGTATTAAGAAATGTGTTATATCATTTTTAACAATGTATGTGTGTTTCTATGATTGTTCTACCAATTTATATCACAGCATCCCCAACAAGCACACCATGCAGCAACTGTGACGGTAACAACGTTACCTGTGTTGACGGTGTGTGTCTACCTCGCTGTGTCAATGTGTCGTCATCTGGAGAGTGTCTCCAGTGTCGGGACTCCAGGTTCTATGGTAAACTGTGTGAACATGACTGTCCAGACACCTGTCTCAACTCTCGCTGTCAGATGGACAACACCCGTGTTGTGTGTACAGAGGGATGTGTGGCCGGCAAGAAGGGAGGTAACTGTAACGTGAGCTGTTCTACAGCCTGTACACAGTGTGAACGTTATGGTGATGGTTGTACAGGACCGTGTCAGAATCCCCGGTATTACGATCCACACTGTAGAACACCTTGTTCCTCCAGCTGTACAGAGGGATGTAATAGGATCACGGGGGAGTGTGGCAGCTGCGTGCCGGGTTACAGAGGAAAGAACTGTAATGACACCTGTCCCCCCAACTGTAGAGGTGGATGTGATCAAGACACGGGGGAGTGTGGCAGCTGCGTGCCGGGTTACAGAGGAAAGAACTGTAATGACACCTGTCCCCCCAACTGTAGAGATGGATGTAACAGGATCACGGGGGAGTGTGGCAGCTGCGTGTCGGGTTACAGAGGGAAGAACTGTAATGACACCTGTCCCTCAAGCTGTAGCGATGGATGTGATAAGGAGATCGGAAAGTGTGAGGGTTGTAATCCAGGGAACAGTGGGAAGTACTGTAATATCTCCTGTCCTATCACCTGTGGGGAAGGATGTAATCAAGGCGGGCGGTGCTCGCGGCCAGGTAAGTTGTACACATATTATTTTATTCATTTCAATCCCACATTGGAATAAACGCATCGAAAGTAGTTATGTTGTGCACTTGCTGGTGTCACAAAGAGAGGGGGTTGTGACAGTTGTGATACTAGAAATACGATAGGGATTATTTTGTGTTTCTCTCTCTTTACTTTGGAATACGGAAACTGATTGAAGAGGGCCATATCAACATAATGTCTATGGGATAATCCGTTGGGATTCCGGGTTAGAACGTTATGGTGATGGTTGTACAGGGCCGTGTCAGAATCCCCGGTATTACGGTTCACACTGTAGAACACCTTGTTCCTCCAGCTGTACAGATGGATGTAATAGGATCACGGGGGAGTGTGGCAGCTGTGAGACAGGTTACACAGGGGACAAGTGTGATGTTACCTGTCCCCCCAACTGTAAAGATGGATGTGATAAAGACACGGGGGAGTGTGACAGCTGTGAGCCAGGTTACACAGGGGACAAGTGTGATGTTACCTGTTCCCCCAACTGTAGAGATGGATGTGATAAAGACACGGGGGAGTGTGGCAGCTGTGAGCCAGGTTACACAGGGGACAAGTGTGATGTTACCTGTCCCCCCAACTGTAGAGATGGATGTGATAAAGACACGGGGGAGTGTGGCAGCTGTGAGCCAGGTTACACAGGGGACAAGTGTGATGTTACCTGTCCCCCCAACTGTAGAGATGGATGTGACAAAGACACGGGGGTGTGTGACAGCTGTGAGCCAGGTTACACAGGGGACAAGTGTAATGTTACCTGTCCCCCCAACTGTAGAGATGGATGTGATAAAGACACGGGGGAGTGTGGCAGCTGTGAGCCAGGTTACACAGGGGACAAGTGTAATGTTACCTGTCCCCCCAACTGTAGAGATGGATGTGATAAAGACACGGGGGAGTGTGGCAGCTGTGAGCCAGGTTACACAGGGGACAAGTGTAATGTTACCTGTCCCCCCAACTGTAGAGATGGATGTGACAAGTACACGGGGGAGTGTGGCAGCTGTTAGCCAGGTTACACAGGGGACAAGTGTAATGTTACCTGTCCCCCCAACTGTAGAGATGGATGTGATAAAGACACGGGGGAGTGTGGCAGCTGTGAGCCAGGTTACACAGGGGACAAGTGTAATGTTACCTGTCCCCCCAACTGTAGAGATGGATGTGACAAGTACACGGGGGAGTGTGGCAGCTGTGAGCCAGGTTACACAGGGGACAAGTGTAATGTTACCTGTCCCCCCAACTGTAGAGATGGATGTGATAAAGACACGGGGGAGTGTGGCAGCTGTGAGCCAGGTTACACAGGGGACAAGTGTAATGTTACCTGTCCCCCCAACTGTAGAGATGGATGTGACAAAGACACGGGGGAGTGTGGCAGCTGTGAGCCAGGTTACACAGGGGACAAGTGTAATGTTACCTGTCCCCCCAACTGTAGAGATGGATGTGATAAAGACACGGGGGAGTGTGACAGCTGTGAGCCAGGTTACACAGGGGACAAGTGTGATGCTACTTGTCCCCCCAACTGTAGAGATGGATGTGATAAAGACACGGGGGAGTGTGGCAGCTGTGAGCCAGGTTACACAGGGGACAAGTGCAATGTTACCTGTCCCCCCAACAGTAGAGATGGATGTGATAAAGACACGGGGGAGTGTGGCAGCTGTGAGCCAGGTTACACAGGGGACAAGTGTAATGTTACCTGTCCCCCCAACTGTAGAGATGGATGTGATAAAGACACGGGGGAGTGTGGCAGCTGTGAGCCAGGTTACACAGGGGACAAGTGTAATGTTACCTGTGCCCCCAACTGTAGAGATGGATGTGATAAAGACACGGGGGGAGTGTGGCAGCTGTGAGCCAGGTTACACAGGGGACAAGTATGATATTACCTGTCCCCCCAACTGTAGAGATGGATGTGATAAAGAAACGGGGGAGTGTGACAGCTGCGTGTTGGGTTACACAGGGGACAAGTGTAATGTTACCTGTCCCCCTAACTGTAGAGATGGAATTGATAAAGACACGGGGGAGTGTGGCAGCTGTGAGCCAGGTTACACAGGGGACAAGTGTGATGTTACCTGTCCCCCCAACTGTAGAGATGGATGTGATAAAGTCATGGGGGAGTGTGGCAGCTGTGAACCAGGTTACACAGGGGACAAGTGTGATGCTACTTGTCCCCCGAACTGTAGAGATGGATGTGATAAAGACACGGGGGAGTGTGGCAGCTGTGAGCCAGGTTACACAGGGGTCAAGTGCGATGTTACCTGTGCCCCCAACTGTAGAGATGGATGTGATAAAGACACGGGGGAGTGTGGCAGCTGTGAGCCAGGTTACACAGGGGACAAGTGTAATGTTACCTGTCCCCCCAACTGTAGAGATGGATGTGACAAGTACACGGGGGAGTGTGGCAGCTGTGAGCCAGGTTACACAGGGGACAAGTGTAATGTTACCTGTCCCCCCAACTGTAGAGATAGATGTGATAAAGACACGGGGGAGTGTGGCAGCTGTGAGCCAGGTTTCACAGGGGACAAGTGTAATGTTACCTGTCCCCCCAAATGTAGCGATGGATGTGATAAAGACACGGGGGAGTGTGGCAGCTGTAAGCCAGGTTACAGAGGGGACAAGTGTGATGTTACCTGTGCCCCCAACTGTAGAGATGGATGTGATAAAGACACGGGGGAGGGTGGCAGCTGTGAGCCAGGTTACACAGGGGACAAGTATGATATTACCTGTCCCCCCAACTGTAGAGATGGATGTGATAAAGAAACGGGGGAGTGTGACAGCTGCGTGTTGGGTTACACAGGGGACAAGTGTAATGTTACCTGTCCCCCTAACTGTAGAGATGGAATTGATAAAGACACGGGGGAGTGTGGCAGCTGTGAGCCAGGTTACACAGGGGACAAGTGTGATGTTACCTGTCCCCCCAACTGTAGAGATGGATGTGATAAAGTCATGGGGGAGAGTGGCAGCTGTGAACCAGGTTACACAGGGGACAAGTGTGATGCTACTTGTCCCCCAAACTGTAGAGATGGATGTGATAAAGACACGGGGGAGTGTGGCAGCTGTGAGCCAGGTTACACAGGGGTCAAGTGCGATGTTACCTGTGCCCCCAACTGTAGAGATGGATGTGATAAAGACACGGGGGAGTGTGGCAGCTGTAAGCCAGGTTACACAGGGGACAAGTGTAATGTTACCTGTCCCCCCAACTGTAGAGATGGATGTGACAAGTACACGGGGGAGTGTGGCAGCTGTGAGCCAGGTTACACAGGGGACAAGTGTAATGTTACCTGTCCCCCCAACTGTAGAGATAGATGTGATAAAGACACGGGGGAGTGTGGCAGCTGTGAGCCAGGTTACACAGGGGACAAGTGTAATGTTACCTGTCCCCCCAACTGTAGAGATGGATGTGACAAAGACACGGGGGAGTGTGGCAGCTGTGAGCCAGGTTACACAGGGGTCAAGTGTAATGTTACCTGTCCCCCGAACTGTAGAGATGGATGTGATAAAGACACGGGGGAGTGTGGCAGCTGTGAGCCAGGTTACACAGGGGTCAAGTGCGATGTTACCTGTGCCCCCAACTGTAGAGATGGATGTGATAAAGACACGGGGGAGTGTGGCAGCTGTTAGCCAGGTTACACAGGGGTCAAGTGTAATGTTACCTGTCCCCCCAACTGTAGAGATAGATATGATAAAGACACGGGGGAGTGTGGCAGCTGTGAGCCAGGTTACACAGGGGACAAGTGTGATGTTACCTGTCCCCCCAACTGTAGAGATGGATGTGATAAAGACACGGGGGAGTGTGGCAGCTGTGAGCCAGGTTACACAAGGGTCAAGTGTAATGTTACCTGTCCCCCCAACTGTAGCGTTGGATGTGACAAAGACACGGGGACGTCAAGTGGTAAAGTTGTAATCTACGAAAGCCCATTACGACCATATTAGTATTTTGGTTTTTTTCTCTTTTAAAAGTCGTAATTACGAGAATAAAGACGTAATTACGAAAGAAAAATCGTTATTACGACTTTTGTTTTCACAATGACGACTTTATTCTCGTAATTACGAGTTTTGAAAAGAGAAAAAAAACAAAATACCAATATGGTCCTAATGGGCTTTCGTAGTAATCGCTAATATGAATGATATCCGTTTTAGCTTATTGTGCTTGGTAGTACATTTCTGTGCATCATACGTATACTTACTGCTGTTTCTATAACGATGAATGAGATACAGATTCAGAACAAGTGTGACGGCATCAGGCGGTCCACACGGGGGTTACCTGCGAGAGTGGTTGGCGGGTGGGGCGCATTGTGACGGGTGTCGGTGGGTACAGGGTGTTATTGTGACTAATACCTGGCAAGTTACAAGGAGTTGTTGAGGAGGGCGTTACGGGGACGTATTGTGACAGAGGTGTATAGTGTGAATGTGATGAGAGCCGGGTGAGTTGTGACAGTTTTGGCCGGTTACAGGGATGTATTTTGACAATTATAGTCTGGTTACAGGGATGTATTGTGACACTTATGGTCGGTTCACATGGGTGTATTGTGACAGTAATAGGCGTTTCACAGGGACGTATTGTGACAGTTATGGTCGGGTTACAGGGATGTATTGTGCCAGAAATGGTTGGGTTACAAAGATGTATTGTGCTAGTTATGGTCGGGTTACAGGGATGTATTGTGCCAGTTATGGTCGGGTTACAGGCATGTATTGTGACAGTTACGGTTTGGTTACATGGATGTATTGTGCCAGTTATGGTCGGGTTACAGGGATGTATAGTGCCAGTTATGGTTGGGTTAAGGGGATGTATTGTGACAGTTATGGTCGAGTTACAGGGATGTATTGTGACAGTTATTGTCGGGTTACAGGGATGTATTCTGCCAGTTATGGTCGGGTTACAGGGATGTATTGTGCCAGTTATAGTCGGGTTACAGGGATGTATTGTGCCAGTTATGGTTGGGTTACAGGGATGTATTGTGACAGCTATGGTCGGATTACAGGGATGTATTGTGCTAGTTATGGTCGGGTTACAGGGATGTATTGTGACAGTTTTAGTCGGGTTACAGAGATGTATTGTGACAGTTATGGTCGGGTTACAGGGATGTATTGTGACAGTTATGGTCGGGTAACAGGGATGTATTGTGACAGCTATGGTCGGGTTACAGGGATGTATTGTGAGAGTTATAGTCGGGTTAGAGGGATGCATTGTGACATTAACGGTCGGGTTACAGAGATGTATTCTGACAATTATGGTTGGGTTACAGGGATGTATTGTGAGAGTTATGATCCCGTTACAGGGATGTATTGTGAGAGTTATGGTCGGGTTACAGGGATGTATTGTGACAGTTATGGTCGGTTCACATGGGTGTATTTTGACATTTATAGTCGGGTTACAGGCATGTATTGTGACAGTTATAGTCGGTTCACATGGGTGTATTTTGAGCGTTATAGTCGAGTTACAGACATGTATTGTGAGAGGTAAAGTCGGGTTACAGGGATCTATTGTGACAGTTATAGGCGGGTTACAGGGATGTATTGTGAGAGTTATAGTCGGGTTAGAGGGATGCATTGTGACATTAACGGTCGGGTTACAGAGATGTATTCTGACAATTATGGTTGGGTTACAGGGATGTATTGTGAGAGTTATGATCCCGTTACAGGGATGTATTGTGAGAGTTATGGTCGGGTTACAGGGATGTATTGTGATAGTTATGGTCGGTTCACATGGGTGTATTTTGACATTTATAGTCGGGTTACAGGCATGTATTGTGACAGTTATAATCGGTTCACATGGGTGTATATCGAGAGTTATAGTCGAGTTACAGACATGTATTGTGAGAGGTAAAGTCGGGTTACAGGGATCTATTGTGACAGTTATAGGCGGGTTACAGGGATGTATTTTGACAGTTATGGTCGGGTTACAGGGATGTATTGTGCCAGTTATGGTCGGGTTACATGGATGTATTGTGCCAGTTATGGTTGGGTTACAGGGATGTATTGTGACAGCTATGGTCGGATTACAGGGATGTATTGTGCTAGTTATGGTCGGGTTAAGGGGATGTATTGTGACAGTTTTCGTCGGGTTACAGAGATGTATTGTGACAGTTATGGTCGGGTTACAGGGATGTATTGTGACAGTTATGGTCGGGTTACATGGATGTATTGTGACAGTTATGGTTGGGTTACAGGGATGTATTGTGAGAGTTATGATCCCGTAACAGGGATGTATTGTGAGAGTTATGGTCGGGTTACAGGGATGTATTGTGACAGTTATGGTCGGTTCACATGGGTTTATTTTGACATTTATAGTCGGGTTACAGGCATGTATTGTGACAGTTATGGTCGGTTCACATGGGTGTATTTTGAGAGTTATAGTCGAGTTACAGACATGTATTGTGAGAGGTAAAGTCGGGTTACAGGGATCTATTGTGACAATTATAGTCGGGTTACAGAGATGTATTGTGACAGTTATGGTCGGGTTATAGGTATGTATTGTGACAGTTATGGTCGGGTTACAGAGATGTATTGTGACAGTTATGGTCGGGTTACAGGGATGTATTGTGACAGTTATGGTCGGGTTACAGGGATGTATTGTGAGAGTTATAGTCGGGTTAAAGGGATGCATTGTGACAGTTATGGTCGGGTTACAGGGATGTATTGTGACAGTTATGGTCGGTTCACATGGGTGTATTTTGACAGTTATAGTCGGGTTACAGGCATGTATTGTGACAGTTATGGTCGGTTCACATGGGTGTATTTTGACAGTTATGGTCGCGTTACAGGGATGCATTGTGACAGTTACGGTCGGGTTACAGGGATGTATTGTGACAGTTATGGTCGGGTTAAAGGGATGTATTGTGACAGTTATGATCGCGTTACAGGGATGTATTGTGATAGTTATGGTCGGGTTACAGGGATGTATTGTGACAGTTATGGTCGGGTTACAGGGATGTATTGTGACAGTTATGGTCGGTTCACATGGGTGTATTTTGACAGTTATGGTCGCGTTACAGGGATGCATTGTGACAGTTACGGTCGGGTTACAGGCATGTATTGTGACAGTTATAGTCGGGTTACAGGCATGTATTGTGACAGTTATGGTCGGTTCACATGGGTGTATTTTGACAGTTATGGTCGCGTTACAGGGATGCATTGTGACAGTTACGGTCGGGTTACAGGGATGTATTGTGACAGTTATGGTCGGGTTACAGGGATGTATTGTGACATTTATAGTCGGATTACAGGGATGTATTGTGCTAGTTATGGTCGGGTTACAGGGATGTATTGTGACAGTTATGGTCGGGTTACAGGGATGTATTGTGACAGTTATGATCGCGTTACAGGGATGTATTGTGATAGTTATGGTCGGGTTACAGGGATGTATTGTGACAGTTATGGTCGGTTCACATGGGTGTATTTTGACAGTTATGGTCGTGTTACAGGAATGTATTGTGAGAGGTAAATTCGGGTTACAGGGATGTATTGTGACAGTTATGGTCGATTCACAGGGATGTATTGTGCCAGTTCTGATCGGTTTACGAGGATGTATTGTGACAGTTATGGTCGGGTTACAGGTATGTATTGTGACAGTTTTAGTCAAGTTGCAGTGATATATTGTGACAGTTTTGGTCGGGTTACAGGGATGTATTGTGACTGTTATGGTCGGGTTACAGGGATGTATTGTGAGAGTTAGAGTCGTGTTACAGGGATGTATTGAGCCAGTTATGGTCGGGTTACAGGGATGTATTGTGACAGTTATGGTCGGGTTACAGGTATGTATTGTGACAGTTTTAGTCAAGTTGCAGTGATATATTGTGACAGTTTTGGTCGGGTTACAGGGATGTATTGTGACTGTTATGGTCGGGTTACAGGGATGTATTGTGAGAGTTATAGTCGGGTAACTGGTATGTATTGTGAGAGGTAAAGTCGGGTTACAGGGATGTATTGTGACAGTTATGGGCGGGTTACAGGGATGTATTGTGACAGTTATGGTCGGGTAACAGGGATGTATTGTGATAGTTATGGTCGGGTTACAGGGATGTATTGTGCCAGTTATAATCGGTTCACAGGGATGTATTGTGACAGTTATGGTCGGGTTACAGGGATGTATTGTGACAGTTATGGTTTGGTTACAGGGATGTATTGTGACAGTTATGGTCGCGTTACAGGGATGTATAGTGCCAGTTATGGTCGGGTTACAGGGATGTATTGGGACAGTTATAGTCGGTTCACAGGGATGTATTGTGACAGTTATGATCGGTTTACGAGGATGTATTGTGACAGTTATGGTCGTGTTACAGGTATGTATTGTGACAGTTTTAGTCGAGCTGCAGTGATATATTGTGACAGTTTTGGTCGGGCTACAGGGATGTATTGTGACAGTTATGGTCGCGTTACAGAGATGCATTGTGACAGTTAAAGTCGTGTTACAGGGATATATTGTGATAGTTTTAGTCGCGTTACAGTGATGTATTGTGACAATTTTGGTCGGGTTACAGGGATGTATTGTGGCAGTTATGGTCGGGATACAGGGATGTATCATTCTCTTATGGGCGGGTTACAGTGAGGCATAATTAAAGTTGTTGATGGCAAAGCAGATACTTATGAATACAGTTGTTCACGTTGTCACAATAGGGTGGGTTCGTGTTATGACAGTTATGGTAGAAACGTTTGGATCGGGTTTCATACAACTCCAATTCGTTTTACTAAGTACTGTTTATGACGAAACATGGATGATCGTTTTGTGTAGTCATTTTACTGTTTGTATACCCATCCATTACCACACGTTCCTTAAATATACTCTTCAAAAGGGTAGGGAATACTCAGAAATATAGTTTTCTTAGTAATAGTTCCATGATAATAATGAACAAATTGGGAACACATTACAACCTGTAGTGATGTATGACAGTAGATGTTATGAACGCCCGCGATAGGGAGACGTTGGGAAATTTCAAAGTTGACGTTTCTGGATCAGTAGTGCGAAATACCGCCACGATTTGTCTAACATCCATTCACTCGACGAGCATACTGCTTATGAGCCTCCCAATAGCGATTTGAGGGAGTCTGTCCCACTCCTCTTGCAGCGCCTGGCCCAGGTAAGCCATCGTGGCGGCCTGTGACGTTGACGTACACGTCTCCCTATAATGTTCCAGGCATTCTATGTATAGGGTGATGCTGGAGGTGGGCATTGGCGATCGGTGCACGGTGATCGAGGGCGTTCTCGTCCTGAAAACGCCTTGCAAAGGAGACAACATAGGGTGTCAGTATGTTGACCCGATGGTACAGATGGTACCTTCTTTGCACAATATGGAGTGGGGTTCGGTCGGTCATAGTGACACCTGAGATCTCAGGTTGACATTGGCTTGAGATTCATTTCGACGTCGCCAGACACGACCACGCCTATCAAGGAAGTGTAAAGTTAATCAATAATTGACAGAAATAATGGTCCACAGAGATTAATCGACCTTCCTTTAAAGTGTCAAAATCAGGAATGACATCTACAGATGTGTTTGGCGCTACGGTGTGGGGCACGTGTAAACTGAAGGTAGTGGGTTCAGACACAAACGTTCCATCACAGGATGTTATCTTTGTTCTTTAATACTTTGTATTTACATTATATTTCATGTTCCCCTAAGTGTATAATTTGCTGTTTTCAACAGAACAGAGTGTAAACTATTTTGCACTTTGTACAGTTCCAAATGCTATTGAAGGAGGGGCAAACATTCTTCTGACTAGAGGGTCTAGAGGGTCTAGAGGGTCCAGAGGGTCAAGAGGGTCTAGAGGGTCTGGATGGTCTAGAGGGTCTTGAGGGCCTAGAGGGTCTTGAGGGTCTGGAGGATCTAGAGGGTCAAGAGGGTCTAGAGGGTCTGGAGGGTCTAGAGGGTCTTGAGGGCCTAGAGGGTCAAGAGGGCCTAGAGGGTCTGGAGGGCCTAGAGGGTCTGGAGGGTCTAGAGGGTCTGGAGGGTCAAGAGGGTCTAGAGGGTCAAGAGGGTATAGAAGGTCTGGAGGGCCTAGAGGGTCTGGAGGGTTTCATTTGGCCTTCGTCCTTCTTGTGGACATGCCTGTAATAATGTCTTTGGTATGCCGGAAATAGACTCAAGACATTGACTGGCAGTTCGATGATTAGAAAGACTGCCAGCGTCCCAAATTTATAATTTAATTCATATGACATTGTTGTACATGAAGCAGGGCGTGGAGTCGTCCCACAGATGAGATCCTTACCTTGTCAGCTTGCTGATTGGGTTTACCTCTTTGGTCATGTGGACAAGGCGTCCGACCTCTGATCAGAAGGTCCGTGGTTCGAATCCCATCACGGGACGGGAAATTTTATGGCCGCTACATACACAACTGCCCAGTGATTCTTGTGTGACGCCAACTCGTCGTAAACAGATACTTTCCAAATATTTTCATGTTTTAATCAAGGTGCTCACGAGATTTGATGCACTTCGCGAAGTAAAACCCGTTTGATCACAATATAGGTTTTGATCAGATCGCCTTGACTGGGCGCCTCCATTTTGTTTGAAGCAAATGCATGTGATACGAGAGGTGGAATTTGATTGACATTAGGAGAGACATAGAATGGACATAACTCGTAATAGCCACTGGTGACGCTACGATCGATATTTTCCAAATCTTTTTATGTGTATAATCAAGGTGCTCAAGTAATTTGACGCTTTTTTGCGAGGTAGGACTCGTTTAGTTACAATATAGATCTTGACTATTGATTAGAGCGTCTTGACTGGGAGTCGCCATTTTGTTTGAAGTGATATGAGATGTGGAATCTGATTGGTCAATAGGAGGGACATAGAAGGGACAGCACTCGTAATAGCCGATCGAGTCACGAAATTCACGAAAATCCAGCCTAGTTCGGCAAGGATAGGAACTTGACTTTTATAGTCAGTTAGCTCCCTGGCCTCCGGAAGATGTGCAAAAGAATATGTTCAAACTAAATGCGATTGCCCAAACGATTTACATTTAATAGCATTACTTGCATATACAATGTAACAAACACGCAACGCAGACACATGTACACACATACGCAGACGCAGACACACACAGACGCGCACACACATACGCACACATACACACAAACGCAGATACACACATATATTCACACATACACACAAATGCAGAAATACACCTACAGAGACAGACGCAGACACACACATACACATGACGCAGGCACACACACACACACACACACACACAAATACGCACCCATACACAAAGATGAAGACATACACATACATATATACACAGACGCAGACACACACACACACATACATAGACAGACGCAGACACACAGACTCACACATACAATTAGACGCAGACACACACAGATACGCACACAGAAATACATACACAGACACACACACACAGACTCACACATACAATTAGACGCAGACACACACATACACACGCAGACATACACATACACACGGACGCAGACATACATACAGAGAGAGACACATACACGCACATACACACAAGCTCAGATACACACATACACAGACAAACGCAGACATGCACAGGTAGACATACACAAACGCAGACACACACATACGCAGATACACACACATTTATTTTGCCATTGTCTTCCAAAGCTTTTGAGTCAATATATTTAGATACTGAATCACTGTTTAAATGACCAGCAGACAGCCACAGCTGTTAGCGAGAGGCCAATATATACGAGATATATTTGTGCATGTATTCTGTGACTTGATGATGACCTTCAACTGGTATATAATGAACACGTTTGTTTCAGACACAGGAGCCAACGCTGAAGCCACGTATGTTGTACTTGTCGCCATCCCCATCCTCATCCTCGTTGTCATCGTGTACAGAAGGTGCGCAGTTCATTGTATTCGTGTAAACACCGATACTCCAATTAGAGAATACCACGCCCATAAGCAGAATAACATTAATAAAAGCCTCATTGGATGCTTTTCCGTTTACCCATTCGTGACCAACTCGTGTTATTCCGGGACAAGCCGAATAGCGACTCGTTTCCCTCTCATGGCCATTTTTGCGACCGGGTTCCGTCTTAGCGTAAACGGGCATTCCTAAAACAATTGTCAACTCGTTGCGTAATGGTTCACATATATTTCCCCATATATTTTATATATTTCAGATGCAATTTAAAGCACATCTGGGCATGCGGAGTTATACAGTATGATTGAACACATTTAACTGTGTCATGGGTATATTTTTAGATGCAAGACATATGTAAAATAAAAAAATATTTCCGAGGGATTCTTTGACATAGAGCTTGAAATCATACGCGCATTCTGATTGGTTTGTCGTATTCTCGCGCATTATATTCATCGATAGGGGGATGAGTCTTCTTGAAGGTTACGGAAAGGGGCGAGTGGTGACGAATGACCGTTTACCGTCAAGGCGACGTAAAGTAGGGACCAAGTTATTAAGGGTATGTCGTTCCATGTTGGTCCCTGAAACCATTTATGGAACTTTTATCGTCAGCCCGATGCGTGTCACGTTCAACAGTACCCGCCCCGCAACGAAGAAGGGATCGAGCTTTACGTTGTCTTGTTTATTTATCATCCACGCCCATCTTGCGGATTTCACGACATGCATAAGAATACCATGTGCCTTTTATTTTCAAACAAAGGCGACGCAAAGGAAGACAGCAGAACCAGAGAGGAACTCCTAATCCAACTTACACATCGTGTTCGGGTAAGAATATTGCCAATAGAAAATCGATCTAAACTAATCGATGTGGTGTTAGTATGACTTTTGAGAGTTCCTTATACCTTATTTTGACCCAATCAAAGGATCTTGTCAACAAAGGGATAAAATGTATTTAATAAAGCTATTTGTACAAAATTTAATTTCCCACCATGTTCGAGGTCCAATTGAACACAATACAGTAACTTAAGGTTATAACGAACTCAAAGGGACCACAAATTTAGTTCGTAATAACCGTAGTTCGTCACAAGCATATATACAGCATAACTACAGCAAAAAGTCGGGACAAAAGGTAAGTTCGTTATATCCGTCAGTTCGTTATAAGCGTGTTCGTTATAAACGTAGTTTCCTTTATGTGCATGTGGAAGGTAATTCAGAACTATGCCTATTTCATGTGAAGTTTCATGAAACTTCTTACATCGACTTCCTTGGCCTCATATCTGGACAGGACAGTGTTACATGTGTCCATCCTCCTGAGTCAAGTCCAGTTTCCACCCTTGCCTAGGCTGGAATTTCCAGGCTCGATCGTAGCGCCACCAGTGGCTATTACGAGTTATGTCCCTTCTACGTCCCTCCTTTTGACCAATCAGATTCCCCTCTCATATCACTTGCATTGGCTTCAAACAAAATGGCGGCGCCCAATCAAGACGATCTGATCGATAAACAATATCTATATTGTAATAAAACGGGTCTTACCCCGCGAAGTGCATCAGATCACTCGAGAACCTTGATTAAAAACATGAAAAGGTTTGCAAAATATCTGTCGACGCCCAGTCGACAGTACACATGCTTTGCAAATCCTGCAGTCGACCGAAATCTGCATGTTGAAATCTATGTTGTTTACGAAACATGTGACTAGTTCGTTACGCGATTTTGATTGGACCATGCATAGACTCGTTAATGCAGCCAAAATCTAACTCCTGAATTCCAGCCTAGTTCGGCAAGGGTAGAAACTGTACTTTAATAGACAGTTAACGCCCTTGCCCCGGGGAGATGACAGGTGTCATGTAACTGGGATTTACTGCATGTTATGGGATTTTACTGTTTTCGAAGTTACATACATGTTAATCTGCGTGTCTTCGTGACCGGAAATGTAAGACACATAACGAGACTTAACATTAGGATAAGACGAACATTCTGCAAACGAATGTATACATGCAACCTAAGTGTGCATTCCGCACATAATAATCATATGTCCATCTTCCAGTCTATACACTAGGCGGGGACATGTGTGATGAGCTGAGCGGGGACACGTCGAAGGAGGTCATGGATGGGGAGTTTAAAGTAGGTCTACTTCAAGGTTCTGAATACATCATCAACCGTACGGGGGGCACGGGTGGCCCAGTCGTCTAATTGCCACAGATTTGCGTCCCTTGGGCACGCCAGAAACCTATTATTGTTGGTTCGAATCCCAATTGTTAGAACTTTTGACCAGCCTTCAAAGACACTACATACACACCGCGGGGACCCGGGTGGCCCAGTTGTTTTAGGCGCCGCGATTCGCTGTGCAGAGTTGCGTCCCTTGGGCACGCCAGAAATCTATGATTGTGGGTTCGAATCCCGATTCGCCCCCATTATGTTTCTAGGTTTGTCAGCACCATACCAGCTCGTGGGTTTCACCGAAGTGGTAAACGTCTGAGACCTGCATCACTTCGGGATTTCCTCCCACGTTAAGCTGACACGCCGTGATATAACTGGAATATTGTTAAAAGCGGCGTTAAATCCAACTCACTCACACACTCAACCGTTCGATAAAAAAATAATGTGATGCTATATGGCGAGTGGGTGGTCTGTGGTTAACGCTGCTAAAATTCGGAGGCTTACGTCCTTGGTGCAAATATGATGTTTATCAGCGAGGGGTCTTAACATAGGATGGATGTGCGATTCGAACCACACACCCGGGTGCCGTTGTGCGAAGCGATCTTAGCGCTAGGGTGATCGTAACTCCCATACCATAACATAGACTTACGACAGTCGTAGCGTTAAGGTTGGTTTGTACAACGGCACCCAGGACATTAAGGTACATCCCTGCACATAGACTCCCTGATATATAGATCGGGGAGTGTTGTATGACTTGGCTGATTCTGTGTCTCAAATCCGACCAACTTTTGCCAAGTCAATATTCAAGCATTTTTCTCCATGACATATCACTGTCTGCGGCTTTAAACACCACTCGCATAAAAGCTATTATGTTTCTGTTTTAGAAACTGCCTTCTTCAAATATAAAACCAGTAAATTGTGCCTCCTTGGACGAAAACGAAGGGAAGAACAGATACAAAGATATCCTGCCATGTATGTAATTATATATCCTGCTGTACTCTTTATTTTGAGTCATTTTACAAAAGAAAATTATACTTACTTTAATCAATCTTAGATAGGTAGAATTTTGCGGTTCGTTATGGAACTTCTACTTTGAGTAAATGTTCGAAATTGGAGTTTATGGATATCTATGAATTGCTGATCCTTTTCGCGAACACCAGGGGCCACTTGCACAAAGCCATCTTAGCGCTAAGATTATCTTAAGACTATGTTAAAGTAAGGGAGTTACAATCATCTTAGCGCTAAGATTATCTTAAGACTATGTTAAAGTATGGGAGTTACAATCATCTTAGCGCTAAGATCGCTTTGTGCAAGTGGGCCAAGGTGTCATCACCATTTTTTCAGCGATCCATAATTATAATGTTCACTGTTTGGGCTTCTGCGCCAAATCGGACCGCCTCCGTGGTCTAGTGGTAGAGCGTCCGCCCGGAGAGCGGAAGGCCAGGGGTTCGATCCCCGGCAGCGTCATACCAAAAGACGTTAAAAGATGGTACTTGTTGTTACCCTGTCTGGCGCTCGTCATTAAGGGGCTAAAGCAAGGACTGGTCGGCTCGGAGTCAGTATACTGTGTCTGAGTGGGGTATTCATGTTAAACTGCGGCATGGTATCTCAGTGTGCTAGCACTATAAATCGGCATCAGTCCGGACTAGTACAAGCAGCCACACAAACACACACACGTACATGCACGTCACTATATAAGTGCAATAATCTTGGACGCGACGTTAAACCCAATTTCACCTCACCTCACCTCTGCGCCAAATTGAGTCTGTTTTGGTGGATAATCGAGACTGGTTGTCTCTGGCGTTGACGTTTTCAATTTCACATTCAATTTCGAGGTTTAATCATATCTAAAACATACAGATTCACACGGAGGACTTTTCTCTGATGTTGGTCAGCCTTATCACCCTATTTTCGAAATATTCTCCATGTCACGTGCTCCTTAACATTAGCATCAAACAGACATGGCGGATAGATATCTGATAAAATGCATGTCCCATTTGCTTGTAACACACGCGTGTCCGACCAACTGCTACTGTTATCGCCGTTATTGCAGAGAAACAGTTCAATCCTGCCACAAAAACAGCATAAGATGTGATTTTTGGTATTTACAGTTGATGCTACACGAGTGCCCCTTGAGATTGAAAATGAAGATGACAGCGACTACATCAACGCCTCTTACATAGATGTAAGTTATGAACAATTTAGGTTGGTTCTTATTAGATTTTGTGTGGTTCTTGTATTAAGTGTGGTTCTCGTATTTATTATGGTTCTTGTATTTAATGTGGTTCTCGTATTTCGTGCGATGCTTCTTTTTTTACTGTGGTTCTTGTATTTAGTGTGGATCTCGTATTTAGTGTCACAGTGGTTCTTGAATTTAGTGTGGTTCTCGTATTTAGTGTGTTTCTTGTATTTACTGTGGTTCTTGTATTTACCGTGGTTCTTGTATTTAGTGTGGTTCTCGTATTTAGTGTGGTTCTTGTATTTACTGTGGTTCTCGTATTTACCGTGGTTCTTGTATTTACCGTGGTTCTTGTATTTACTGTGGTTCTTGTATTTACTGTGTTTCTTGTATTTATCGTGGTTCTCGTATTTAGTGTGGTTCTTGTATTTACTGTGGTTCTCGTATTTATTGTGGTTCTTGTATTTACTGTGATTCTTGTATTAAGTGTGGTTCTTGTATTTACTGTGGTTCTTGTACTTACTGTGGTTCTTGTATTTACCGTGGTTCTTGTATTTACCGTGGTTCTTGTATTTACTGTGGTTCTTGTATTTAGTGTGGTTCTTGTATTTAGTGTGGTTCTCGTATATACGGTGTTTCTTGTATTTACTGTGGTTCTTGTATTTAGTGTGGTTCTCGTATTTACTTTGGTTCTCGTATTTAGTGTTGTTCTTGTATTTACTGTGGTTCTTGTATTTAGTGTGGTTCTTGTATTTACTGTGGTTCTCGTATTTATTGTGGTTCTCGTATTTAGTGTGGTTCTCGTATTTAGTGTGGTTCTCGTATTTACTTTGGTTCTCGTATTTAGTGTGGTTCTTGCATTTACTGTGGTTCTTGTATTTACTGTGGTTCTTGTATTTAGTGAGGTTCTTGTATTTACTATGGTTCTCGTATTTAGTGTGGTTCTCATATTTAGTGTGGTTCTCGTATTTACTGTGGTTCTCATATTTAGTGTGGTTCTCGTATTTAGTGTGTTTCTTGTATTTAGTGTGGTTCTTGTATTTACTGGGGTTTTGTATCCTGTGGTTCCTGTATTTAGTATGTTTCTAGTATTTACTGTGGTTCATGTATTTAGTGTTGTTCTCGTATTTAATGTGTTTCTTGTATTTACTGTGGTTCTTGTATTTAGTGTGGTTCTCGTATTTAGTGCGGTCCTTGTATTTAGTGTGGTTCTCGTATTTAGTGTGGTTCTTGTATTTACTGTGGTTCTTGTATTTAGTGTGGTTCTTGTATTTACTGTGGTTCTCGTATTTAGTGTGGTTCTCGTATTTAGTTTGGTTCTCGTATTTGGTGTGGTTCTTGTATTTACCGTGGTTCTTGTATTTACTGTGGTTCTTGTATTTACTGTGGTTCTTGTATTAAGTGTGATTCTTGTATTTAGTGTTGTTCTTGTATTTACTGTTGTTCTAGTATTTAGTGTAGTTCTCGTATTTAGTGTGTTTCTTGTATTTAGTGTGTTTCTCGTATTTACTGGGGTTCTTGTATCCTGTGGTTCTCGTATTTAGTGTGTTTCTAGTATTTACTGTGGTTCTTGTATTTAGTGTTGTTCTCGTATTTAGTGTGTTTCTTGTATTTACTGTGGTTCTTGTATTTAGTGTGGTTCTCGTATTTAGTGCGGTCCTTGTATTTAGTGTGGTTCTCGTATTGAGTGTTTCTTGTATTTACTGTGGTTCTTGTATTTAGAGTGGTTCTCGTTTTTAGTGTGTTTCTAGTATTTACTGTGGTTCTTTTATTTAGTGTTGTTCTCGTATTTAGTGGTTTTCTTGTATTTACTTTGGTTCTTTTATTTAGTGTGGTTCTCGTATTTAGTGCGGTTCTTGTATTTACTGTGGTTCTCGTATTTAGTGTTTCTTGTATTTACTGTGGTTCTTGTATTTAGTGTGGTTCTCGTATTTAGTGTCTTTCTTGTATTTACTGTGGTTCTTGTATTTCTATTGATGCTTCTTTTTTTACTGTGGTTCTTGTGTTTAGAGTGTTTCTTGTATTTACTGTGGTTCTTGTATTTAGTGTGGTTCTTGTATTTACATGGGTTCTTGTATCCTGTGGTTCTAGTATTTAGTATGTTTCGAGTATTTACTGTGGTTCTTGTATTTAGTGTTGTTCTCGTATTTAGTGGTTTTCTTGTATTTACTGTGGTTCTTGTATTTAGTGTGGTTCTCGTATTTAGTGCGGTTCTTGTATTTAGTGTGGTTCTCGTATTTAGTGTTTCTTGTATTTACTGTGGTTCTTGTATTTAGTGTGGTTCTCGTATTTAGTGTCTTTCTTGTATTTACTGTGGTCTTGTATTTACTGTGGTTCTCGTATTTAGTTTGGTTCTTGTATTTACTGTGGTTCTTGTATTTCTAGTGATGCTTCTTTTTTTACTGTGGTTCTTGTATTTAGAACGTTTCTTGTATTTACTGTGGTTCTTGTATTTAGCTCGTTTCTTGTATTAAGTGTCACAGTGGTTCTCGTATTTAGTGTAGTTCTAGTATTTGGAGTTGAGTATTTGGATTCGAACCTCAGACTCGTCCTAATAATGTTACTTGGTTGGGAAGCATCACAGCGAGCTCGGGGGTTTCTCCAAGGATGTACTCGTCTGTGACCGGCATCACTACACTACACTACACAGTTACAGTGGTGAGACCGCCTCCGTGGTCTAGTGGTAGAGCGTCCGACCGGAGAGCGGAAGGTACGGGGTTCGATCCCCGAACTCGTCATACCAAACAAACGTTAAAAGATGGTACTTGTTGTTACCCTTAACTCATTAAGGGATTAAATCATTTTTAACATGAATACCCCACTCAGACACATTGTACTTTATAAATCTTTAACTTTCAATACAAGAGTCCGAGCCGACCAGTCCTTGTTTTAGCCCCTTAATGCCGAGCGCCAGACAGGGTAACAACAAGTACCATCTTTTAACATCTTTTGGTATGACGCGGTCGGGGACCGAACCCCGGACCTTCCGCTCTCCGGGCGGACGCTCTACCACTAGACCACGGAGGCGGTCTGATATTTCTGGAATAATGCTCACAGCTCAACCAAGTCGCTTAATAATGTATTGGGAGTTACACAGTTACTCATGGAGACTCTCTCCCCCACAGGGATACATGGACCAGACCCGCTATGTTGCAACCCAAGGTACGTGGAGACTTTCATGGGTTTGGTAAACTACTTTCTTCCTCATCTCCACGCATATAATAAATAATACTACCAAAAGATACTCGTGTCTATCCTACTATGTCGACATTCAAATTGCTTCTTAGTTTAATATGACTATGCCAATACTCATGTCAATCGGAACACAACAACGAACTCATCATTACGGGAATTTTTATTTTCGCTTTAATATGGATATAGTTACGAATTCATTTCAATATTTCTTGCGTTTATGGCCTCGTATAAACGTGTTAAACTCCAAACTCTAAACGCTAAAACATATTAAAGTCAATTCATATGAATAAATACGTCAACAATAATAACTTGACAGACTGCTTATTTCATCATTAACACAAAAACCAGGACAGATCTCTTGGTTAATCAATCAAATGCCATGGAATGGCATGCAACGTATTTGCTATAGATAGCCTTGAAAACCTTTCTACAGGGCCCTTGGAACACACAAAGAACGACTTCTGGAGGATGATATGGCAACTGAACACCGCCAAGATTGTCATGGTTACTAACCTCATGGAGTCGGGGAAGGTCAGAATACATTATGTCAGCTTCTGGCAAAAAAATAATAATCAAGACGTCTCCAACCATGAAGTGATGATATCGACGACGTTCATGTACAAATATATTTTGGACTGCCGATACAAACATCTTTACTCACCATGATATCATCACATTAAGTATTATGAGCAAATAATATTACTACTACATTCATAACCCTATGTATATATATATCATGCATTCTCTCAGTTGAAGTGCTACATGTACTGGCCATTCTGCAGCTCTGAGTCCACGATGTACGGCAGTATAAGTGTTCAGTGCGCGAAAGAGGAGGTCTACGAGACCTACACCCTCCGCTCAATGGCGATCTGGAAGGTAGGTGACCTACACCAGCGCTTCCTGTTCATATGGAAGGTAGGTGACCTTAAACACCCGTCCGCCTCCTGGCCATCTGGAAGTTAGGTGACCTACACCCTCCGCTCCCTGAACACCTAGAAGTTAGGTGACCTACACCCTCCGCTCCCTGAACACCTAGAAGTTAGCTGACCTACACCCTCCGCTCCCTGAACACCTAGAAGGTAGGTGACCTACACCCTCCGCTCCCTGAACACCTAGAAGTTAGGTGACCTACACCCTCCGCTCCCTGAACACCTAGAAGTTAGCTGACCTACACCCTCCGCTCAATGGCGATCTGGAAGGTAGGTGACCTACACCCTCCGCTCCCTGAACACCTAGAAGTTAGCTGACCTACACCCTCCGCTCCTTGAACACCTAGAAGTTAGGTGACCTACACCCTCCGCTCCCTGAACACCTAGAAGCTAGGCGACCTACACCCTCCGCTCCCTGAACACCTAGAAGGTAGGTGACCTACACCATCCGCTCCCTGAACACCTAGAAGGTAGGTGACCTACACCCTCCGCTCCCTGAACACCTAGAAGGTAGGTGACCTACACCTTCCGCTCCCTGAACACCTAGAAGGACAATGTAGGTGACCTACACCCTCCGCTCCCTGAACAGCTAGAAGTTAGCTGACCTACACCCTCCGCTCCCTGAACACCTAGAAGGTAGGTGACCTACACCCTCCGCTCAATGGCGATCTGTAAGTTAGGTGACCTACACCCTCCGCCCCGTGGTCTTTGTGAACGTAGGTGACCTTTTGGAAGTTTCCTGGCCATATGAAGGGTAGGTGACCTAGTGGTTAGGTTACCTAGACCCTCCACCCCCTGGCCACATAGTGGTTAGGTTACCTAGACCCTCCATCCCCTGGCCACATAGTGGTTAGGTTACCTAGACCCTCCACCCCCTGGCCACATAGTGGTTAGGTTACCTAGACCCTCCACCCCTGGTCCTATAGTAGGCGGGATAGCTACACCCTCCACCCCCTGGTCCTATAGTAGGCGGGATAACTACACCCTCCACCCCCTGGTCCTATAGTAGGCGGGATAGCTACACCCTCCACCCCCTGGTCCTATAGTAGGCGGGATAGCTACACCCTCCACCCCCTGGTCCTATATTAGGCGGGATAGCAACACCCTCCATCCCCAGGTCCTATAGTAGGCGGGATAGCTACACCCTCCACCCCCTGGTCCTATATTAGGCGGGGTAGCTACACCCTCCACCCCCTGGTCCTATAGTAGGCGGGATAGCAACACCCTCAACCCCCTGGTCCTATAGTAGGTGGGATAGCTACACCCTCCACCCCGTGGTCCTATAGTAGGCGGGATAGCTACACCCTCCACACCCAGGCCCTATAGAAGGCGGGATCGCTACACCCTCCACCCCGTGGTCCTATAGTAGGCGGGATAGCTACACCCTCCACACCCTGGTCCTATAGTAGGCGGGATAGCGACACCCTCCACTCACTAGCCATATAGAACAAATTATACCTACAACCCATGGACCCGCCCCTAGGAATGTAATGCAAGTGAGCTCTCCGCACCGGTTGAAACGTTGCTGTTTTATGTCATTACAGGAAGCTACAGAGACAAGAATGATCAAGCAGTTCCACTTCACACAGTGGCCCGACCACGGGGTTCCCAGTGACACTACAGCACTATTACACTTCAACAAAGTAGTGAAGGACACGGCACTACCACTGTCAGGGCCATTAGTGGTTCACTGCAGGTAACAGATATTTATTCCAAATATCTGTTTCACGTACAATAAGAAAAACGTATGTATCTTATTAGTAGACAAACACAACTTAATCGTTAACGAAGGCATTGCCCGTAACTTGTGTAGCGGCAGCACATGCTCACACCTGTCGTCAGAATTGGTAACTTGCAATGATTCAAGGTTCTTGAATTAATATATTTGGAATAGTTCTTCGGTCAAATGAAATATGGCATTGACGTTTGTTATCAATATGTACGATCCACACTTTTCACACAGTAATGGATTTGACGAATATGCAGGTTCGTTTTTGCTGAAGCAATTGATTGTGTTGAATATATGACACGTTTTAATTGAAAGCAACTTATTTTATTCTTTGTGAGACGTCTCAGAGCTACATCTTGTTCCTTCATCAGGTGAATGGTGAAGCAAGAATGAGCTCTGAAATGTCGATCAAAGAATAAAATAAGTTGCTTTCCATTAAAAAGTGTCATATATTCATGCTCTCCCAACTACTAAATGCCTATCAAAGAATTCATTGTGTTGCTTGTCCAACTTCTAAATGCCTATCAAAGAATTCATTGTGTTGCTTGTCCAACTTCTAAATGCCTATCAAAGAATTCATTGTGTTGCTTGTCCAACTTCTAAATGCCTATCAAAGAATTCATTGTGTTGCTTGTCCAACTTCTGAATGCCTATCAAAGAATTCATTGTGTTGCTTGTCCGACTTCTAAATGCCTATCAAAGAATTCATTGTGTTGCTTGTCCGACTTCTAAATGCCTATCAAAGTATTCATTGTGTTTCTTGGCCTATACAGTGCAGGTGTTGGACGGACTGGCACTTTCTTAGCGTTGGACTACTTACTGGACCAGGCAAGGAGCGAGGGCCGAGTCTGTGTCTACAACTGTGTGCAACACTTCCGTAGGGAGAGGATGAAAATGGTTCAAACAAAAGTTAGTTTATTACTAAAAGATTACTCAAATGTCTGACTGAAAGTTCTGCGAACTTATGAAATAGTCTGCCGATCTGGCGTTGCATCTGCAGATCCGCCGTCACATGGCTTAAACAACAAATAAACAAACAAACAGCATATGCAGGTGTTAATCCCTTATCAGAGAAGGTAATTCGGAATAAAAATCCTTCGAGACATGTTAGTTGCATGCAATGTTTTGTGAAACAAGGAAGAGATATCAAGAGTGTTTCACGTTTTTGTTCACGTTTAAAACCACATCACACCTTAAGAATAATATCACGGGAATCCTTTGACCACATACGTTACACAAGATTTCTCGTCTGTGACACTGTTGGTACAACCAGAGGTAGAAGGTGACCAATGGTTATGCATGCAGCAAACATTGCTGTGACGCCCCTCTACAGGGTCAGGTCAACGGTAGACGGTGTCTTTCTTCCTATTTTTCCTCCTCAAAATATGTTGACCCAAGTGTGCAGAAATTCAGCATAACTGTTTAGTCTCCACAATCGTTATAAGTGAATAATATTATTACGTTACTTCTAAAAGAAAACAAACGGGATAAAAATGTTCCAATGTTAATGCTGACAAGGACTTTGGTTAAATTGCTGTCATTGACGACATTATCAAATGTTGACCATGTGTTTTACGTTGTCCTGACACTATTAATATCAGTTCAGGATCAATATGCATGTTGTATTCCTGAAGTACAAAAACTTCCATTTTGTATGTTTATTCAAGAGACACGTTTAAATTTCGAAAGTTTGAGTTTGTGTGATGTATTTTCAGGAGCAGTATATATTCATACACAGCATTCTCCTGGATGCCTTGCAATGTGAACAGACCTTGACTCGCCCCATCGAGCCAGTACACATCCAGTGTGAGACATGCTGGAACCAGATTAATAATAAGCACAGGTGAGTGAGTGAGTGAGTGAGTGAGTGAGTGAGTGAGTGAGTGAGTGAGTGAGTGGGTGGGTGAGTGGGTGAGTGAGTGAGTGAGTGAGTGAGTGAGTGAGTGAGTGAGTGAGTGAGTGAGTGGGTGGGTTGGTGGGTGGGTGGGTGAGTGAGTGAGTGAGAGTGGGTGAGTGAATTAAATGCAAAATATTGTACTGTACATCTGATTTTGATTTTAGGGTCAATATGGACATTTCATCCATTGACAGTGATGAAGAAGATGTTCTGTATGAAAATGTTCCCCATCACTGGGCACGTCAGCTTCAACAAAGAAGTGGAGATGCGGCCTCTCTCCCCGACGTCTGTGACGTGGTCTGTGAAACAATGCCCTTGCTGTCTAGTGCAACAAACACCTCAAGCGAGGAGAGGAGCCCGGAAGAGAAGACGGACGACGAGGGAGGAAGGATGAGTTGGGTGTCGCCTCTGTTAGGTACAAGTGACAGGATACAGGAGACGGGTTACGAGTGACAAGTCACTGTTTCGTTCTGCCACATATTCCAGAGTTCCTTGAATACATATTTTGTTCATACTGTGCGTGTGTGGTGATAAGTAGGGTAGTGCATCGTATTGGTAAATTTCGTTTAAAGTCATCCATATCTTGTATGTGTTTCTCATCTACAACCTTAACCAGCATGAGAGAGGGCAGACGAAATATGATAAGAAAAAGTTGGGTTTTTTTAATACAAAATAAACTGATGTTGTGTAACTTAATCTATAACATTTTAAAGTTTTAAAACTTTTGCTATCAGTCTTTAATAATTTATTTGTGACATAGATCGAGTTACTTAGCTTCAGTAACGACTATTTAATAAATATAGCTGAAGAAAGATCAATCTCATCTGGTTGTATTATAGACTTCAGTGTGAAAGACTGATTTTTCTGAAGTTGAGAAAAAAGATATTTTCATTGCAGTGAACATAACACTTGATATTTCACTGCAGTGACACGTTTACGGAACTATTGTTTTACAAGAGTTACCTCCCCTTAAATTGTCTCCCTTTAGCGTAAATGTCAAGCCCGTACACAAACTGTTGACGTCCTTTTTACGTTAGTTCCACATTCAACAAAGCAAAATAATGACAGATGGTCTTTTATGGAGTCAATATCACTTCTTTGCCGTTTGTTATCCTCTCGAAAATGATTCGTTATAAATTGTACATTTCTCATTTAACTCGTCAATCGAGACTGTTCGTTTCGCAAAGCGCCATTTTTGTTACTTGACCAGCGTGTATTCTTTCGCTTCCAACAGCGGTCTCCAAGTTTTCAAGAATATGTTTTGTTGATTTTGTATATAATCATATCTAAATGTATGATAAAAAAATTTCGTGACCCTAAATATTTTTGGATACTTTTGTATATATTTTTTAAGATTTTGCCAACACGAAACTACTTTTTAAATCGCAAATACAAGGGATGGTAAACCGTCCCTATGTGAAAGGTAGGGAGAATTTACGTTTTAAGGTTTTACATTTGTAATGAAATAATTTAATATTCCGTTAGATAACTGCTCAAAAAGTATATAATAAATAGGATATTCCTTGTGTCTCGTGAAATATCATGTTAATCTTATCGAGTGACTCGTACGCCACTCGTGAAAATATCTCCTTTCCCCCGTCACTCGATGAGAGATATATGATATTTCACTCGACACATCAAATATCCTCTACTTTTTGTTATCACACCGGGGCTTATTTTTTCACAGCGGCGGAGGAATTTGATATACGAAAACTTATTATTACTTCACGTCGGAATGAAAGTTCACAGTGGGTGGGAGATTGGAATCTCAGACTAAATCCGGACATCATGTAAGCAAACGCGCTTAATATGATCAGTATCCATCGAGTGCATGAGCTGCCAGTTGCATTCAATACAATATGTTCATTATTTTGGTGATATAAGCAGTTCTCTACAAAACCTAAATGTACAGATCATGAAGGATGGATAAAGCTTTAACTTTCAATACAATTTGTACATAAATGGTTCTTATCAATGAACGATACCATGTTAATAAATGCTTACAATGAAACTTACATCGATAACTCCAGGTGAGGTGAGGTGAAATGGGGTTTAACGTCGCGTCCAAGATTATTGCACTTATATAGCGACGTGCATGTACGTGTGTGGCTGCTTGTACTAGTCCGGACTGATGCCAATTTATAGTGCTAGCTCACTGAGATACCATGCCGCAGTTGAACATGAATACCCCACTCAGACACAGTATACTGACCAGTCCTTGTTTTAGCCCCTGAATGCCGAGCGCAAGACAGGGTAACAACAAGTACCATTTTTAACGTCTTTTGGTATGACGCGGCCGGGGATCGAACCCCGGACCTTCCGCTCTCCGGGCGGACGCTCTACCACTAGACCACGGAGGCGGTCCGATAACCTAAAATCAAATTTCATGTCCAGCGGTTATTCATACCTATGAAAGTTGTTTACGTTTTTTTTATATACTAGCCACATAAATAAACTGTGCACGGAGAAAATATAGATATAAGGGCACACCGTCAATATATGAAAGAAAGGTTTGAACACAGCAATTATTGGAGACATTCAAACGCTCATGCAAGTGCCATGCGATATGACGTCATTGATTGGGGCCTATGGACGTGCAATGTGTTACTGCACGTGCATCCTGTGCAGCTGTACACAGCATGTGCAACTCAAAATTCGCTGTCACTTTGGAAAGCATGATCTGTGGTCATTCAAAAATTCAAAACTTCTCAGGCGCAGACACAAGCATATCACAAGCAAATCATGCCAAGATTGACAGCTGCACAGCGTCATGAAGCCATTGGAATGATCCGAGCGGGAATGAGGCAACAACAGGTGGCAACAAATTTCCAATGCCATCGTAACACGATATCGACATTGGTGAGGCGTTATCAGAACACAAATGATGTTGCCGACCACCCACGTTCAGGACGTCCCCGAGTAACGACGCCAAGACAGGACAGATGGATTCGAGTTACACATCTCCGACACAGGTTCCAAACGGCAGTAACGACGTCCCAGACAATTCCTGGACAGCGCCGTATCCATCCCAACACTGTCAGGAATCGTTTACGTCAGTACGGGATTCGACCACGACGCCCTGCCATACGTCCCATCCTGACACACCGTCATCGAGTCAACCGTCTAAGATGGTGCCGAAACCATGTTCGCCAACCTCGAATATGGTGGAGAAATGTTGTCTTGACAGATGAATCGAGGTTCAACATTTCCCACAGTGACGGGCGCCAACGTGTCTACCGGCGTTTGGGAGAACGTTATGCACGAAACTGTATTGTGGAGACGAATCGTTTTGGAGGTGGCTCCGTGGTGATTTGGGTCGGGATAACAGCACGGCACCGAACCCCTTTGGTGGTTGTTCAGGGCAATCTCACCGGTGTTGGCTACAGAGATCAGATTCTGCGGCCTGTGGTCATTCCTTTCCTGCAACGTCATGGCCCGGGATTGACATTTCAACAGGACAACGCTCGTCCTCACACGGCTAGGGTCGCAATGGATTTCCTTCACCATAACAATGTCATGTTACTGCCATGGCCTGCAATTTCTCCAGATCTCTCCCCAATAGAGCATGTGTGGGATGAAATGGAGCGCCGTCTGCGTCGTCTTCCACATCCTCCAGATAATGTCCGTGACCTTGCACAGGATTTGAGGAGGATATGGCAGGCCATTCCCCAGGCTTTCCATGCCCATTTGGTGGACTCCATGCGTCGCCGATGCACTGTTGTGATTCACGCACAGGGTGGTCATACCCGTTATTGACTTTGTAACTTTGTCGTTTGACCCCCTACTCCATTTTGATCTTCTGACGTCATCGTAACAGATGTTGTTCAGGTCCCGTTGACATTTTCTTATGGTCCGATCATTCAGCTGCTACAGCGTCTGCATCATTTTGTTCTTGCTGTGTTGTATTTCAATCCAGAATATATTTTCTCCGTGCACAGTTTCTTTATGTGGCTAGTATATTAACCATGCTATCATGTTAGTTGTGTTGATTTTGGTTAATCGTGATCATTTGCTATTATGTGTTATTATGAGTTATTCCTTCACGACCTTTCATCCGTACCATGATTGTTTTGCCTAATTGGCCTGTTAAAGCAAGTACATTATGCTAAAAACTGAATTTGTTTTAATACTGATATCATGAGCCTATAATCAAAACATGTGTGCCCTTTATACTTTATATCTATATTTCGAAGTTTAGTTGTTACGAAAGGTTACCTAGATTACTGACCATCCCGGATTCCAGTTTGTTTAAGCTTGCTATATTTCTTTTCATTCTTCTTTGAATAAAGTGCTATTAAAAAATTCCGTTTGAAAACTTGTGTAGTCTTTAAAACCCTTTGAGAACCCTTTTTATAATTATAAAAAATCTCTGCCCGACCATGCCACAAGCACATCAAGTGGCGATGGCACCGGATGTTCGCGAAACGCGTCATAACGTTTTATGTTAATCAGGATAAGATGCTAACATTCATCAATGAAGGTAGAGGTGACAGTGAGTGAGTGAGTGGGTGGGTGGGTGAGTGAGTGAATGAGCGAGCGAGTGAGTATAGTTTTATGCCGCTTTTAGCAATAGTCAAGCAATATCACGGCGGGGGACACCAGAAATGGGCTTCACACACTGTACCCATGTCGGGAATCGAACCCGGGTCTTCGGCGTGACGAGCGAACGCTTCAACCACAAGGCTACCCGACCGCCCCCCGAGGTGACATTGACTGCAGCATATTGCAAATACTTAAAACACGCGGCACGGCAGCAGTTCAGTACTCGCTTATGTCCTGGACTGGGTGCTGGGGGCATTGTTTAACGCCGGTTTTATCATCGCGGTGAACATCAGAAATGAGCTTCACGTATTTTAGCTAGAAAAGAAATTTTAACAATTTTATGTTTTAAACGTACTTTCCATGAAGCTTAGGAAACGGACCTAAAATATCTCTTGCTGGCGTGCAGGACTTTGAAAAGATATTCTTAAAAGCATTGGTATTAATCAGCGACTATGTACCCTGGCTGAGGAACGTCTCTTAAAGTGCTAAAAGTCCTATAAGTAAATATTAGATCGAATTTTTTAAATCGATCTCCCAGGGGTAAATCTCCAGGGCAGATCACTTGCACAAAAACTCTTGATCTTGAAATATGTCTGACATGTGTATTCTGAGCGAGTCTGAAAAAACCCGTCCGGAAACTATCCCTTATATCACAAGAAGATAAATGTGTTTTCCGAGTGAGTGGCTATGTACAACGCGGCTTGGTTCAGGGATTTCAGCTTGAAGTACGAGTGATGCAGGTCATAGACGTGTACCTCTTTGGTGAAACCTACAAGTACGCGTATGGTGCTGACAAATCTGGAAACATAATCAAGGGGCGGATCTGGGATTCGAACCCACTAATGTTTTTTAGGTGGAGGTGAACTGACACTAATGTTGTTCCTGTGAAACCGGGGTAGAATAGGTCTTCAGCAACCAATGCTTGCCGTACAAGGCGACTATGCTTGTTGTAAAAGTCGACTAACGGGATCGGGTGGTCAGGCTCGCTGACTTGGTTGATACATGTCATCGTATCCCAATTGCGTGGATCGATGCTCATGATGTCAATAACTGGATTGTCTGGTCCAGACTCGATTATTTACAGACCGCCGTCATGTGGCTGGAATATTGCTGGGTGCGGCATTAGACAACAAACTTGCTAAGTACTGACAGGGATATAGTGAGTGAGTGAGTGAGTATGGTTTTACGCCGCTTTTAGCAATATTCCAGCAACATCACGGCGGGGGACACCAGAAATGGGCTTCACACATTGTACCCATGTCGGGAATCGAACCCGGGTCTTCAGCGTGACGAGCGAACGCTTTAACCACTAGGCTACCCGACCGCCCCGACAGGGATATAGCACGTCATGATAGAGCATTAAATGTGTAAAGTCTGATTATCAAACCCGCGGTATCTTGAAGTAAGCTGTAAGAGAAGTCCCTTTTCATTCTGAAGAAATCTGACACAAGGGAAGCAACTCATGGTCATGCTTCCCATAACTGCACGGATAACACTGGTCAACTCCAAAGTACATGTCCTTCCCATTTATAAACCAGACTATACCTGTGTCTTACATAGGAAATACTGTCATCTGGAATACAATGGTAGATCTTGGTGCTGTTCACATTAACTTAGGAATGGTTTCCACTGAAATGTCGTCCATTTTCTGTGAAAATCTTATCCCTGAAAACAAATAAACACATCTAAAACACTGTCGTCAAAT